ATAAATGGAACATACCTTAACACAAAAAAGCAATATATATGACAAAACCACAACTAGTATCAGTCTCAGTGGTGAAAAACTGAAAGCCTTTCCATTAAGGCAAGGAGGTCCACTTTCACGACTACTACTAAACATAGTATTGGGAGTTCTAACTAGAACAATTAGTCAAGAGAAAGCTATGTGATGAACCAGATTTGGGAAAAAGACATAAAACTATCATTATTTGCAGATGATGTAATAATATACATGGGGATTCCCAAAAATACCACAGGAAAACTAATTAAAACAATAATCCAGTTCATCAGAGTGGCAGGACACAAAAGGAACACACAAAAAAATCAATTGCCTTCCTACACACAATTAATGAGCTAGAAGAAATTAAGAAAGCCATCCTATTTACACTCTCACCCCAAAAAATATATACCTGGAAATAAATCTAACAAAGGAGTTGAAGGACCTGTACAAGAAAAACTATAAAATACTGCTATAAGAAATAGAAGACACAAAGAAATGGAAAGATATTCCCCACTTATGGATAGAAGAATCAACATTGTCAAAATGACTATCCTACCCAAAGCAATTTACAAATTCCATGTAATCCCCGTAAAAAGCCCAATGGCATTCTTAAATGATATAGAACAAAGATTACTGAAATTCATGTGGAGCCACAAAAAAAAAACCCAAATACCAAAGCTCTCCTGACGAAAAAGGGAAAAATAGAGTATCACACTTCCAGAAGTCAAACTATACTACAAAGCCATAATAATTGAAACAGCATGATACTGGAACTAAAAACAGCTCAGTAGAATTGAGAACCCAGAAGTAAAAGCACATTTATTGACAACTAATCTATGACAAAGGAATGAAGACTATACTCTGGAACAAGAAAAGCCTCTTCAATAAATGGTGTTGAGAAAACTGGACTGCCACATGCAAAAAAAAGAAAAAAACAAAAGAAAAGAAACTAGACCACTATCTCACACCATAACACAAAAATCAACTCAAAGTGGATAAACTTGGATGTAAGACCTGAAACCATAAAATATATTCTATTTTTATCAAAACAGTCAGGGTAAATATATGGAGAAAGCAGAGGTGAGTCCATCTAGCTCCTCTATTTTGGATGGATGTGTCTCATCAGCAAACAATGAGGTACAATGGTGAGGGACACTGCAAGAGAAGCCAGTCTCTAATACAGCTTCACCCCAGCAGTGTGCTTCTCCGTGACTGAGCCTGGGCTTCCCACTGTGGTTCCTTTCCTTACCTGTCTGTTTCAGGAATACCTGACATCCCAAGTAAGGGATATGAGGCAGATAACTACCTCTACCCAATGATGAACGATCTAGCCAAATTGGCAGGTTGAAGAATTCCAGTTTTTCTCCTGTGTTTCCTAAGAATTCTGTTCAGGATCTTTGCCTTCAAGTAGTGGCAAGTACTAGATAAGATGACAGAATTCGGTTGGGTTACTGATATTCCCAACATCTATACTAACAGCCCAGATCACTGTGAGATCTAGAGTAATTAATAGTTGGGTAGAAAGAGATCAATCCAGTTTACTGAATACTATGAGCCTTAGAAACTGACTTCTCCACACACAGCAATGTACTACTAATTGGTGAGGTGATGTCTCATGCCAAGCCCAAAAGATCATATTTCCTAAATGTGATTATGGGAGATAATATAAATTCATTTTCTCTTTTCATTGCACAGCTTTCATTTTCTCCTCTGTTTCCCTCCCATCACAGTAAATCCATATCGTGTAAGTTGTGTGGGTTTTATCAGGAGAGGGGTGACCTTATAATCTTGATGCTTTTTCCCATTTAAAGGAGATTGCTTTGGGGATTTCATTGGGGCTCTTCTAAACTCAGTGAAAAGTCTTCCATCTTGTAAAATAGAACACCCACCGTTTCATGCTGGAAAGATCTTCAGATATAAGGAAGGTGCTTAGGAATCTTGCTGCTAAAGATACCATCTACGAACATGCCTGTTCTTCCTAAGTCCTGCAGTAGATAGTTTTTCCTACCTCTGCTTATCTCATTCACATCATTCAACTTACTTAGTAATGCTACAATGGAAGGTTCAGTTAAAAAGAAGCAAGATCTGGGGCCTCCCTGGTGGCGCAGGCAGTTATGCGCAGTGCTGTGAAGCTGTCCCCAGCCTCTGCAGTGCCGGTTCAATCCCTGCCGGCCTCAGAGTAACCCACATGACTAGCAGACCTCTCCTGTCTCGTCCACTGCTCCCCTCAGCAGTGTATTTCGTCAGTCTGCCAGCTCTGTTCCCTACTCTGTCTCTGGTGGAACCCTCTCACCTTCCCGCGCATCTGGCCTGTACCCCAATTCTTGTAAAATAAAATAAATATTTAAAAACAAAAAAAGGAAGATCTACAAAGAACTCATACAGCTCAGTAACAAGAAAGCAAACAACCCATTTAAAATGGGCAGAAGAGCTAAACAGACATGTTTTCAAAGAAGACATATGGATCACCAAGAGGCATGAAAAAAATGTTCAACATCACTTGTCATCAGAGACCTGAAAAAGAAAACCACTATGAGATACCACCTCACTCCTGTGAGAATGACCCATATCAGAAAGACTAATGGAACAAATATTGGTGATGGTATGGATCATGGAGGAAAGGGAACCCTGGTGTGATGTTGGTGGGAATTAGATTTGTGCCGTTCCTATGAAAAACAGTATGGAGGTTTGTCAAAGTTTTAAAAATAGATCTACCTTGTAACCCAGCAATCCCGCTCTTAGGTATCTACTCTAAGGATGTAATGGTTGTTTCACCCAGTTCTTTCCTCTGAAACCGGTGTCTTTGTCAAGAGCCTGATGAAAGGCAGGGATGTACCCAATTTTTCCTCATCATAAAAACTTTTCTCTCTATGATCTGGCCTTAGTGCACACATCATTTTAGTCTGAACTTTTACATAGAATTTTCAGTAATATCCAATTTGAGATCTTAGAAACCCTTGGGAGATTAATTTCTTTGCAAAATCCTGGCAGGAAATAGCATAGACATGGGAGCAAATGCTACCACAGACAATGGAAAGGTAAACATAAAGGTTCTGCCAGTAAGTTTTATTCTCAAGGGTGACCAACTAGCTGCCCCCAGAGCACCAAGCCTGGCTTTACTTTCTGCCCCTGTCCCTTCAGCATCTAATGAAGCTTGCAAGACTGTACTTTGCTCACTGATTGGGTATATTCTGCCTGGTGATCAAACAGTCTTGTGGGAAATTATCAGAGTCCTCACACCTGCATGTCTGGAGTATCTTGTGATACATTGGAATAAGGGTGCTTCTCTACATGCATCTCTAAAAGGTAGGATGTCATAGTGGCGGGGAGCAAGTTCAATGGAAGGTAGCTTGTATCAGGTGCACCGAAGATGATGGAGTATTGAAGCAGAAAGAGCCTTGTCTCCACAGCAGCAAGAGCTGAACTCAAAAGTAGCTGTCTGGCCCTGTTAGCTGGTGTAGAAAATGGAGTCATGTTACTGTCCATGGCAGAGGCATAGCGAGACCTTTCATCAGAACCCTAAAGTCAAACTGTCACCCAGAATTGGGAGCAGAGGAATGCAAATGTTCTGTTCTCTCTGCTCCTTTCTGGAGTTTCAGTGATCAAGGCTGCCTTGTAGACTTGTTGTGGGATGAAACATTCAGGGCTATTGAAACAGGACTTTGTCACTCATGGACATTGGGAACCTGGGAAACGTATTCGTCCCACTCTGGGATAACAGCCTGTAATAAATGTGTTTCCTTTTCCTTTCCCTTCAGCTCAGAGCAAGTTCTTGATTTCTGGGAAGAAGCTGGTTGTAAGAGGAGAAAGTGCTGCCCACCCTGAGGTAACTCCTATGTGCCCCGGTTAAGCATCTTGGTCCCTTGGAGGAAAGACTGCTGTCAACCAGGACAGAAACAGAGGCTCCTCCAGGTGCCCTGAGAGCAGCACACCCTCAGGTAAGCAGAGTGGTTACAGGAGCAGCGCTTCAGGGAAACTGACCCATGGCAGGTAAGTGCAAGAGGCACACTCCATGCTGGAGACATTCAGTTTAGTATTGAAATGCGAGAACCAAACACCATCATAAGTATTTTATTGAGGGGACTGAAGAGAGAATGAGAAAGTGCATTGAGGTTTGATATAAGAGTGAATATGAAAATCCAAGTACCCAAGATGTTTGTCATGAGTGAGCTAATTTTGTGACCTACTCCTCTCCCCATCTCTCTTACATGCCAGCATGAGTTTTGAAAGAGTAGATTAAAACCTAGATTTATAGACTGTGCCATGGTTTTGAGCAATCCCCAAGTCTCTAAAGTTCCAGTTTCTTCTGTAAAGTGGTTATACTAGATTACTTCTCAGGCTGATGTCATTCTACAGGTCAGTAAATCAGCAATTATTTTAATGAACGATAGAAAAAATAAGTAATGGTCAATTTTTATTTAAGGTTGAGTCATAACCAATATATTCCTGTTTTAAAATGTTCTGTCAAAAAATTTTATTTTTTTTAAGATTTATTTATTTATACAAGACTTGGGGTACAGTCAGAGTTGCGGGAGAGTGAGAGAATTCACCAGAGATGGAGCAGGGAGCAGAACAGGCAGACCGACAAAATACACTGCTGAGGGGAGTAGCGGGAGAGACAGGAGAGGTCCGCCATGTCATGTGTGTTTCTCCCCGGCGGGCCGAGAATCGAACCCGCACTGCAGAGGCTGCAGACAGCTTCACAGCGCCACCGGGGAGTCCCTGTGAAAGAATTTTAAAATAGCAGTAAACTAACTTTACAAAGATGACCCATTTCAGTAGCTAAAACTCAGTGTTGAACTTGTATTCAACTCAGGTTCTTCTGATTCAAGAACCAACTCACTGGACCACTTTTCTCTCTGCCTCCCTGCTGTCTCGGGTAGTCAAACAAATTGAAGGTGTGCTCCCTTAAAGCCTTAGTGCTTGCCGTGATCTATTTATTGTAGATTATGACCAGTGGGTAAGTCTACTGTGAAGAGATGACCATGGGAACAGGGAATGGGACCACTGTCCAAGAATTCACCTTGGAGGGTTTCCCTGCTGTCCAACATCTGGGAAAGGTCCTCTTCCTGGTGCACCTGCTGGCATACCTGGCATCCATTACAGGCAATGCAGTCATCATCACCATCACCTGTGCTGACTCCCGACTCCAGACACCTATGTACTTCTTTCTCAGCATTTTCTCCTTCTGTGAGTGTTGCTTCACAAGTACTGTTATTCCTAAATTACTGGTCATCTTTCTCTTAGGCAGGCAAACTATTTCCTTTGTTGCCTGTTTTATACAAGGCTTTGTTGTACTATTCCTGGGAGCAGCAGGTTTCCTGCTCATGGCAGTGATGTCTCTGGATCGGTACATGGCCATTTGCAAGCCTTTGCATTACCCAACCATCATGAACTTGAAAAATTGCATCCTCCTGGTCATTGCTTGCTTTGTATTAGGTTTCACTCTCATCACTGGTGTGGTGGTGAAGGTTTCCCAGTTATCCTTCTGTGGCCCGAATGTCATCCCTCATTTCTTCTGTGACTTTGGCCCCCTGATCCATCTCTCCTGTTCTGACACCAGGTCTGTTGAAATTTGGGCCTTTGTCCTTGCCTTGTGTGTCATTTTGACATCCCTCGTTATAACCGTCACTGCATATAGCAAGATAATAGTCACAATCCTTCATCTCCCATCAGCCAAGGAGCGACAGAAAGCTTTCTCCACCTGCTCTTCTCACCTCATTGTCCTCTCTCTGATGTATGGCAGCTGCGTCTTTATATATGTGAAGCCAAAGCAAATGAGCAGGTTGGAATCCAACAGGGAGGCTGCCCTTGTGAACACAGTGGTGACCCCACTGCTGAACCCTGTCATCTACACTCTGCGGAACAAGCAGGTCCACCAGGCTCTGAGGGAGACAATGTGCCGAATTAAAATATCAAGATAAGAAACATAACATGACTTTGGAGTAGAAGTCTTCAGAGTTCATTTGTGTTCATTGGTGACAGCTGTGCAGAGACCTCCTAGTAGAGTCTCTGGCCAACCTCACCTGACATCTACATCCCCATCAAAATAGATAAGTGTGTTTTCTCAAGGTCACATTTTACCATACTGTGCATAACTATCTTTCCCCCAAATATCCAACCTTGATGACAATTGATGTTAACTTCATAATCCATTCTTGAATCATTTCGCATTGGACAAGCTGTGGAGTCTTACACAGTTGCTGCCTTCAGATATCTGATAAACTTCCCAAAATATTTCAATCATTTTAACAATAAAATTCTAGATACATTCTTGAATCCTCTTGAAACAATTCATGGTAGCTGTATCTAGATGCTGGAAAACATAGGAATAATATTTTCCCTTGAGGGTTGAAATAGTGAAAAGCATATTAAAGTGATTGAGATTCGGTAACTGTAAGAATGAGTCAAGTGTCATTGTCAATACTGAAAAGTGTGAGCCTCCCCAGGTTTCAGTCAAGATTTGATAATAATTCTATAATCAAATACATTTTATTTTGCCAGAGACAGTCCAAAATAGAGGGGTGAGTTTGAAAAATAGAAAAATTAAGACCAGAAATCCAAAATTGAATCTATGAATCCAGGTTGTTCATTACCAGTGATAGATGGTACTCAGTAAGTTACTTAATGCAGAGATTAATGTCCTAGATTCTAGAACTGTGAGATATTTTATTGAGTCAACTTCTCTGAGATAATTCTATATCAAAGATACTTCCACTTTTATTTTTTAACCATGTCATTGAAGTATGATTGACAAAAAAACTGTACATAGTAATGGGTAAAATTTATTATGCTTGGACGTAAGTATACAACCATTAAAACATCACTATCACTTGTCTCCCAGTCATTGATTCTTTTCCTATGTATTAAGAGCATTTATAAGATCTATCCTGTTAGCAAATTTTTAAGTATAATAGTGGAATATTGGTAACATAGGTCCTATGTTGTCCAGATTTCCAGAAGTTACATTTTGTAGTTTGATCGATATGACTCTATTGCTGTGTGCCTGCAGCCTGATGATGACCATTCTACTCTTTGATTTTGTATGTTTTATATTTCATTAGATTCCACAAATTAGTGAAATCATGCAGTGCTCATTACAATCAACTGGGTTCACCAAGATATAAGAAGCTTCTATGTTTAATGGGATTAAAGGAAATTTGAGCAAGTGTATTAGAAAAGGCAAAATTATTTAGGAGCAGTCATAAGAAAACTTAGGGTTCAGTTAAAAAACCAAAGCCATGCTTTGTGTTCCAAATATGAAGAGTTTTAATAGTTTATTTTTTTATTTTTTTTTTCTGATTTTTTTTTTTAATAGAGGTATTTTTTTTTAATTTATTTATTTGTTTGTTTGTTTTTGTTTATACAAGCACTGGGTACAGTCAGAAGCATGGGAGGGTGAGAGAATTCACCAGAGCCAGAGCGGGGAGCAGAGCAGGCAGAAGGACCGAAGTACACTGCTGAGGGGAGCAGCGGGCGGCAGGAGAGGTCTGCGCGCCATGTGGGACCCTCCTCCAGTGGCCGGGAGCAGCCGGGGATCGAACCGGCGCCGCAGAGGCTACGGGCAGCTTCGCAACCCAGCGCTCAACCGCTGCGCCACCGGGGAGGCCCTTAATAGTTTATTAAACTCACTGTAGTACTCCTGTTTCCTTTTTACATGTAAATGCACCAATTCCTGCTTAAAATTTGACCTGTATTCAAATTTCTCTATTAAATTAATTAGTCGGGTTTCTCTTATCTTGGCTGGATCTTGACTGAAACTATAATAAGAGAAAAACCAAAAACACAAGGATCTACCATTTCTTACGTATCAGACTGGTATCATGCAAAGTGTAAGCCTGCTCTATTGGTGAGGCTATGGAAGACCAGCCAAACTCACACATTGTAGACTTATATATGCATTTACTCTCTGATCTAGAAATTATGCTTCTAGGGATTGGCCCCAAATAAAATACCAAAAATATAAAATATGAATACACATGACAGCTGCAGCACATTTTTACAAAAAAAGACTCATTTCTCACTGGAAGACATTTGATTACCATGTAAACATAATGTGTCTACTCAATGATGGGTGTTGGTTTTTTTGTTTGTTTTTTTAAAGATTTATTTATACAAAAACCGGGGCACAGGCCAGATGTGCAGGAGGGTGAGAGGATTCACCAGAGACAGAGCGTGGAACAGAACCGGCAGACTGACAAAATACACTGATGAGGGGAGCAGCGGGCACAACAGGATAGATCTGCCGTGCCATATGGGACACTCAGAGGCCGGCCGATATCGAACCGGTGCTGCAGAGGCTGCAGACAGCTTCACGGCGCTTCACTCAACTGCCTGCACCACGGGGGGAGGCCCAGATGGGTGTTTTGTTTTTTTTTTTTAACATGATGTATCCATGGCATTTTCCTTGAGCTGTCATTGGATTACACTTTTCATTTTCAGGGGTCTAATTGCCTTGCTTTGCAGAAACATGACTATTAAGTGCTCTTGAGGAGGTTAAGTGTCACCACGAGGGCAAACCAGCAGATTAAGTTACTAGACAAACCTGAAACACCTCCAGCCCCAAAGGGTACTATACGTGCAATGGAAATAAAAGTACTTAGTCACCCAGGTCTTCATTGTCCCGGATGCCAAACTTTTGACATTTCTTTACATCACCTAAAGCTGTCGTTAAATGGCAGCAAAAGATACTTAATGGAAACCAGCCTATGGTTCACCTACTTTCTACCTGTAGTTTCCTTTGAAAATACTATACTCAATGTTGATACCTTGAGACCACTCTTTAAGTCAACTGGGATTCACCGAAATGTCTTTGAAAAGGCAGCATTGTTTTAGTCAAATAAACAAATGTCATTTCCATTGTTAGATATGGAATCATAAGGGACAGGGTTAGGAGTTTCTTTCTTAGGCTTACAGAAAAAGAAACCATCTTAAATGCTCAGTGAGCAAATCATAGCGATTTTCTCTGCTCCCCTCTGTGGTTCTCCCCTCTACAACCAGTTCCTTGAAAATTTATACTTGCCTTCTTCTCTCACCTGATACTCTGCCTCAGTCTGTTCCCACAGATCTTTCATTCACCCCTATGCTCAGAAATAATATTTACAAAGATTCTTCAAGGAAAATTGTAGAAAACAGGGGCAGAGACTGTTGGAAGGAGGGCTGAAAGTAAAAGCTAGAACCTGGGTGGGTGGAGATGCAGTTGTGGAGACTGATGCTGGAAAGCTACAATTAGCAAGAGCAATTTGTTTCCCAGAGTTTGAACTTTATCACATGCAGCTTTGGACTTGGGACATGTATAACAGTGGTATTGCATCTCATAACCTTACTGGTCAATCTTTTATTGTTCCCTCATTGTCCTTGGATGGTCTCTTCTGGTTTTTGGGTTTTTTTAGCCTTTGTTCTGCTTGCTTTTTTTTTTGAGGACCCCATCTATCATTTAAAGCAGCTAGACTTACTTTAAACCCTGAAAAGAGCCACTTTTGGTGGGTTTTCCATGTTGTTGCTTGATTGAAGTTTCTAAATATATCCATTGTGTCATATTAAGTTTTTCAGAGTTTCTACATCTTTATATCCCTTTAGACCATTTCATTGGTTACTGAGAGAGGAATGTTAGTCTTCCCATTTATTTTTTATATAATCAAGTTTTCCACTAAAGGCAAATTTTTATAATTACATGAAAAAATCTTCATGAGCTGCCAGTTTTAGACTAACCAGTATATTCACTGTATCTTTTAAAGTCAAGTCTCATAACTGTTAAAAAAAAAAAAAGGCAAAAAGAAAAAAATCTGAAGGGAATGCTGAAAACAAACAAGACCAAGAGAAACGAAACAAGATTTGGTTTCAGCGGCACCTAGTCTTAGCTTGAAGTCTCCGGGAACTCTAATGCCTACCAGCAACACAGTCTTTCTACCTCGTGGCAAGGGAGGAGTGAGGCCTTTACACCTTCATATCAGGCTCTAGACAGTCACTGTTTAGGGGCAACAGGGAGAGTAGTGCATAACTTGCAGCCACCTCCTGATGATGGTGCTGCAACCCATCAGGGCTGAGGCTCTTGGAATGTTCCAAGTGTGAGCCTTTAGCAGCATCACACATGGAAGCTGAAGGTAAATGCACACACCAAACCAGCGAAAGAAAGTCCAAGAGGTCTGGACAGAGCACCAAAATTTTTCTACCCCACTTGCTTTGCCGGATAGTTTCACTCCATTCTTTTATAACTTCTACAGGATTCTGGTTGATCAGTTTCTGAGAAAACTTGAAAGTTAATGGAATAAAACTATAGCTTCCAAGGCTGCAATTTGTCCTGAGGTCAGAATTGATACTGATTATTTCATTTATTTACTATTCATTTTATATTCCTTTTACTCTCAGCCAGAAATTCTGCAGATTTAGACAACTGATGTGGTGGAGCCACCTGAGAGATCTAAGATTTTGATTACCATGCCATGATTTGGCCACAGTTGCTTTATTTGCCAATTTACAGTGAAAATTGGGGTTCAGATTACCAAGAGATACTGCAGTGGTTCATATGAATGCTAAATATTAAAAAAAAAAAAACCTACTTGTTTATTTTTGCTCTTGCATTTCCTTTGTTGTTTCATTCAGGTCTCCAAGACATCCCTAAAGCCAGTGTGGTAGAATGTTTTACCTATGTCTTCTTCTATGTGTTTTAAAATTCCAGGTCTTACATCCAAATTTTTTGTGCAGTGGGAGAAAATGTTCTAGTTTCATTCTTTTGAATATAATTGTCCAGTTTTCCCAAAACCATTGGTTAAAGAGACTTTACTTTTTCCGTCAAATATCTTGACTCCTTTGTCCGAAATTAACTGTACATGTAAAAGTGGGGTTGTGTATGGCTCTCAATCCTATTTCATCAGTCTCTGTGTGTATTTTTATTCAAATGGATATTGTTTTGATTACTATAGCC